GTGAGCACAACACACTAAAAAATAAAAAGGGTTGGGAACGTAGCTCAGTGCCAAGGCCCTGGCTTCAATCCCCAGTTCCACCACCCAGCCAAAAAAAAAAAAAAAATGTTCTCTGTCGTAGAAGCTTATAGAGTGAAGGAGACTTGTGGTCTACAAGAATGGTGCAGGCATAGCATGTTCTGTTGAGGTACAGATGGGGGAAAGAGAAGTAAACAAAGAGCACTGTCATAGACATGTTTTACTCTAAAAACATTAGGAAGAATTTAACCTTTACTGTACGGACCATGAAGTGTGGTGGAGAAAAATTGGGCTCAGGTGTGGGGACTTGACCTGTTGGTTGGTTTCCCTGAGCCCAGCTAAGTCGGTTAGAGGTTACTTCAAGCCCCAGTTGAAATAACCCTTAGGAAAAGTAGCTTGGACAGATTCCTGTAGCAAACCTGAGGTTGAAAATATTACTAAGAACACAAGCAAAACAACGGGACACGGCAGAACAGAGTGACCCTTGGCCAAGCTGATTACCTGTCCCAGATCGGAGGATCAGGGCAGCATGGAATGCAGCTGAGCCGCACGTCCTCTCAGAACGTGCTGCCCCGGCCTCTGATGCTTCTGGTCCCCTGCCCTGCAGTGCTGTGACTGGGTGGTGCCTTAGGAATAAGTCCAGTTTCCTTTCCCCTCAAACCTGTTCTTAGGATTATCCCCCAGAACAGTTCTGATCCCCAACGAAAAGGCTGTCTCTCTGTCTTTGAGCAGTTGAATGCAGACAGCACAGATGTCTTAAACAGGACATCAGGTAGAGTTAGCGCTGCACTGAAACTCAGTGTCTCCTGGGCGCCACGTCCGTGCCTGCTTCGAGCGTGATGGGGAAAGGGAAGTGGCTCGGCTCTCCAAAGCTGGCCGCTTGCACCTCCCATCTCTGTATCTCTGACACCGCGGTGAAGAAGAGGAGCTGGTGAGCGGTAGGGGTCCGGGGCTTTTTGGAGGCTCACTAAAGCTCCTTCGAGCAGCAGCTGGGGCAGCTGGAGCTCGGAGCGCTGGAGCACTGGAGCTCGGAGCGGGCCACCGGAGTTTTGGGGGTGTGTCTAGTCAGGGGGCTGTGAGGAGTCGCCCTGCTCTGGGCTTAACAGGAAGTCCCGAAGAGCGACAGAGGCCCACATTGTCTCCTTGGGAGCCAAAGCACTTTGGCTGAGACAGTTGTAGAAACAGACTAGACAAGACAAGAGACACCTGGGAAAGAATGAGGTGGGTCCCTGTGACTTTCGGAGAGGATTTAGGCCTGGGATGGCTGAGACGCTCTTCTTTGGGTACATTCATCTGGCCTGGCTGTATGGGCACCTGTGCTTTCGCTTATACAGGTTGTACTGTTGTTGCCCCCTGGGGGGGGGGGTATTCCTGATCCTTGGCCTGAGTTTATGCCCTAAGAGCAGCTGAAGAAAAGAGCAGGAACTTTGCTCTTGTTTGATTTGGGGTTTTTTGAAACAGGGTCTCCCTGTATGGTCCAGGCTTACCTTGAACTCTCTAGCCCAGGCTGGCCTCGAGCCTGCAGTCCTCCTGCCTCAGCCTTCTGAGTGCTGGTATTACAGGTGTGCACTATCACACCTGGCATGAGCAGGAACTTTCATTGGGACAGCAGTCTCCCAAAAGAACCGTCCCTCCAGTCCCCTCAAGGTAGCAGTCCAGTCTTAGCAATCTTGAATACCGTATCTACTTCCCTCCTTTCCTTACCTGCTCATTTTCTGGACATGGACGCCACCTAGTGGGGAATAGTAATAGCTCACGGAGCCGTTAAGTGACTATACCTAGATTTCCAAAATAACTCACATTTCCCACTTGTGTTTAACTCTGCCACCTATTCGGTGCTGTTTGCCAGCTTCTGAGAGGCCAAACTGAGCACCACAGGGGCCATCAGGACTTTGTGACACTGTCACCTGTTTCTGGATGCCTATACGTGATATAAATAAATGGAAATAAAAAATCAATGTGTGAGGGCCGGGGATTTAGCTCAGTGGTTCTGCCGCCTGCCTCACAAGCGCAAGGTCCCGAGTTCGATCCCCGGTACCAAAAAAAAAAAAAAAAAATCAATGTGTGAGACTTCTGAGTGAGGTGACTGGGTTAGACGGTGTAACTGTTTTCTAGGGTTTATAGTTCCTTCTTAGAAAAGTTGTATTATTCTTAGTGTACATTTTATTTATTTTTTATTTTTTTGGTACTGGGGATCGAACTCGGGACCTTGTGCTTTCGAGGCAGGCGCCAGAACCACTGAGCTAAATCCTCGGCCCCTTAGTGTACATTTTAAATAGTAATAAAAAATAGGAAGACATAGAAAGAGGAAACAATAAAAATCATTTGGTTCTACCTGAAACATAACTACCGATTACATTTTGCTGTGCTTCCATTTAGTTTTCTTGGTTTGGGTTTGGGTTCTGTTTTGTTTGCGGTACTAGGAACTGAGCCCAGGGTTGACATGCTAGGCTAGGCAAGCTCTCTACCACGGAGTTACATCACCAGCCCTTAGCTAGTCGTCTTATTATTATTATTATTATTATTATTATTATTATTGCAGTTTATATTTGTCTTTAAATTATGGTCACTCTGTAATTCCTTTATACTTTTGCTTTAGTAATAACCCTTTTGTGTTCATAATATTAAACAAAAAAACCTTTATACAAAGCTGGTTCCAGTGACCGCAAAACACTTCATTTAATTGCATTGGATTCCTGGAAATTAGATCTTAGAATTCATTTTATACCTTTATTTGTGCTATGTGTTCATGCATAGAGACATTATCAGCGACCAGCAATGAACAGGTAAAACAATACGAAGGGAATGTTAAGATTTATTGTGCAGCGAGGGGCGAGCCACCCGCGGAGGTGATGGGAGGTGGCTGGATTCGAAGCGAGATTCTGCCAGCAGGGCCCAGCGTATGTCAGCGCCACCTAGTGCTCGTGATTAGGAACAGCCTGGGTCCGCTTCCTCCCATTCCCGCTTAGCCTAGAGTTTAGCGAGAGCACGGGGATCTCTAGGAAGTGTGCATTACCGTTAGGGTTTGCAGTATGAGCGCCAAATGGGCATCACGTGAAGGGAAAAAAGGCTTGTGGAGTCTCGGAAATGAAAAATTCGAACAAGAAGACAGCTGTGTGGAGTTCTAGCCCTGGGATCACCTCCAAATCTCATCTTTTACAAATCTCTTCTCTACTTATAACTTAATTGCCTTATTATTTTATTTAAAATCTGACCTTTCTCTCTGACAGCTATGTTTTGATCAGGATCTTGGGAGGCAGGTAGTATAAAAGAAAGGACTCTGGTGTTTAGAGTCCCACATACCAGACAGGAATTCCAGTTCTGCTTTTCACTACCCCTGTGCTGAGGTGCAACTGCTTAATGTTTCTGAGCTCAATTTTCTCATCTCTAAAATGGGGACAGTCAAGCCAAACATGGTGGCACATGTCTAATCCCAGCATTTGGGAGGCTGAGGCAGGAGGAGCACAAGTTCAACTTCAAGGCCAGCCTGAACTATATAGTGAGACTGTCTCAAAAAAAGAAAAAAATATATAAGGAGAATAATTATATCTTCTTGCCAAGTTGTAAGAAGGACTAGCCATTGTGCATATTGCTCTGCTTGTAATGTGGGTGCTCAGTAAAGTAGCTATTTTTGTAAAAAAGATCCTTATTATTGAGAGATCAGATGAAAACAATTTTAAAAATTAATTGGGTTTGCCAATTCTAGGATGGCTGGGTTTTTTCCATTTTAAACTGTGAAACTAAGATGCCTCATGACGTGCTAGCGTTCCTTCTTTGCTTCCACTTATATAAAATAATGGTACTCCTTACATTCAATGGTATTGTAAATGAAATGTGGTGGACATCAGTGTTGGAAGTGGTACCCTTGGTCTGTAAAGCCGGAAGGTAGTAACTGGTGCTCAGAGCTCTGATGGTGACAAAGTGCACACACACACAAACACACACACACACACTCCCCACTGCTGAGTTCCCGATCAGAGCCAGGCCTGAGAGCTGTTTCTGTGAAGCTGATTTACAAAGTGTGCTGAGCCCTTTCCAGTTCGCTGAGGTCGCACAGAACAGTTTTCGGCTGAGCAATCCACAGCATCCACAGTGACCTGAGGGTCCTGGGAGGTGAACCCCTCCCTGAGCCCATGGCTTCCTTCTCAGTTGCGAAGGCTGCTTCCTCTCTCCAGGGGTGCCTGGAGGACTGAGTGGGATGTTGCATGGAAAATACCTGGCACACATTCCCCTCAGTGAAGAACAGCTGATTCTACTCCCATCTCCTTGGCAACTGGTCCTAGTCTTTCTTTCCTGTCTTACAGTCGAACAAAGTTCCTGTTGTTCAGCACCCGCATCACATGCACCCGTTGACGCCCCTCATCACCTACAGCAACGACCACTTCTCCCCGGGGTCCCCTCCCACGCATCTCTCCCAGGAGATCGATCCAAAGACAGGTGAGTACCTGCCACACAGGTGCTTGTGGGCCGGGCAGGCTTTTCTCTTCGGGGGACATAGCAGGCCTTGAAGGAGGCAGATCTGAGTTCAAATCATGCCTCCAGGCCCCCAGAGTATCCTGACCTTGACCTTGTACTTCTGCCCATGGGGATGGTGTGAGGATTAAAGGGACTGAAACGAGACGAGCCTGGGCCTGGCTTCATAGTGAACATCAGGGGCTGCTCTGTCAAAGTCTAGTCCAGCTGCGAGCTGTGCCTCCCTCCAGCAAAACCCAGGCCCTGGGCTGAACATTTTCAAATAGTCATCAGTCCAGCCAGGCTTCTCAGTAGAGCTGTAAAGCAAGAAAGAGAAGCTGAAGTGTTTGTTGGTTTGGTTTGGTTTTTTGTACTGAGGCTCAAACCCAGGTCCCTCACCCTGAGCTACATCCCCAACACCTTTTTTACTTACTTCGAGACAGAGACTTGCTAAGTTACCCAGGCTGGACTCAAACTTGGATCCTCTTCCCTCAGCCTCCCAGAATGCTGGAGTTACAGTATGCCCCTATGCCAGGATAGCTTTTAAAAAAATTTTTAATGGGCCATCAGACCTGTCCAACCCAGGGAGCTACAGGCTTTATAACGCCCTTACAGAACTGCCATGGCTCAAAGCATTTTGGAGCCCTGCTCTAGAGGAATAAAGCTCACCACACACTGCACATAATAAACAGGACCAACATGGAAGAGAAATCTAGAGTTTAGGGGCTGAGTATTATGTAGCTCAGTAGTAAAGCATGGCCCAAAGCCATCACCAGCGCTGCAAAATAAGAAGCCCAGGGTTCATTTCTCCACGAAGGAGACCAGTTTTCTAGGCAACTAGTTCATGGATGACTCAGGGGATATCATGCCTCTCTGTGGGGATTTCCTGACCCTCTCTTATGAGACATCGATTCCTGTGACAGGCAGCTGGAAGTTACTGCACCCCGCAGAGATGGGGACTGTGCCTTCCACGAAGGTCCTTGACTAGCTGGCAGAGCTGTTGGCAGGGGTGGAGGTTGAGGATGATGAAGAGAGCCTTCAGGGCTCCAGCACACCCTGGGGACAGAGGGGAGGAAGCTGCCTTTGCTACAGGCCAGGGGAAATGGTTTGACACATCTCTCTCTTTGGAAGCAGGAATCCCCCGGGCCCCTCACCCATCTGAGCTGTCACCGTATTACCCACTCTCTCCCGGAGCTGTTGGACAAATCCCCCATCCCCTCGGCTGGCTCGTCCCACAGTAAGGAAACTGCCTCCCTTTGTACCCCTTTCTTTTCTGTGCTGAGCTCTGCCTTCTGAACCCCAGGACTTGGGCCTCCCTGCTCCCACCCCTGGGCAGCTTATCCCATTCTTCTCACTTCCTGCTCAGTTTTTCCTCCTTCTCCCCATTCCCCTCCCCATCCCAGCCCTGACCATTCCCAATACCTGACCAGACCTCCTTGCTCCTGGGACAGGCAAGGGCAGCCTATGTACTCCATTCCTCCTGGTGGCTTCCGGCACCCTTATCCCGCACTGGCCATGAATGCCTCAATGTCCAGGTGAGTTTGGAGCGGGGCTGTGAGCATGAAGTGACTGCCCGGGGCATGTTTGTCTGCTGGTGACCGCCATTCCTGAGTGTGACATCACCTTTCTCCCATCAGTCAGTGAGAGAGCACAGAGATGCCTCTCCAGCCACCCCTCTGATTAGGTCCATCTCATGCCCCTGCTCCTTTTCCCTGGGCAGAATGGAGACACAGGATCTTCTTTCCCCATCTGCAACACAAACCTGAGCCTGAGCTCCCTACCCTCCCACTGCCGCCTCCATGTGCCAGGCTTTGTGGGCAGAGGCATTTTGAGTATGTGACACTGAAGCCAGAGGTGGGAAAAGTTGATCCCCCACACACAGCATGAGAAGAGACAGGGTTGATTCTGTCTCAAGGGTGGCACCTGACCCTGGGGCTCCAGTGACAGAGAACATATGGAGCCCATAGTGTGAGCCCTGTTTTCTCCCTCTTACGCTGCCCTCTGACCTCTGCACCTTCTTCTGTATTTCCCATTCTACCTGCTTCTGGCACCAGGTTGGGGTGCCCTTGTGAACTGGGGGAAGAAGGGGCATCTGGTGTTTCTCAGACCTGATTCTCCAGCAGACAACCGGTGGCCCTCCACTCCCCAAACTGGCAGGGAGCCTGAGCCCCCTGGCCTCTGCTGGGGACACACTCAGCCTGTGTTCTCTGCTGTGATTTGTTCTCCCCTGTACGCAGCCTGGTCTCCAGCCGGTTCTCCCCTCACATGGTGGCTCCCGCCCACCCCGGCCTGCCCACCTCAGGGATCCCCCACCCTGCCATTGTCTCGCCCATCGTCAAGCAGGAACCTGCACCCCCAAGCCTGAGTCCCGCGGTGAGCGCGTAAGTAAGCAGCAGCCAGGGCTGAGGGTGGAAGGTCCCGGCCAGTCTCTGAGCAGCAAATGCCATTTGTTTTTCTCTTCTGGGGTCACCTGGGAGGTCCCCTCAGGACCTCTTTGCCCTTTGAGAGACTTAGTACAACTTCTCTCATGTTAAGGAAAGTTTCACAGTGAGGCCCAGGGGCTGGAGAACCTGAGATGCATGTAGCCTCCCTCTGCACCCTGATAGACCAGTGAAAACATGGGCAGGAGAGGGGAAGGACCATGGTGGCCCTGAAGCAGAGCTGAGATGGGCAGAGGCCCCTCCTTTGTCCGCTGTGCCAGGAAGACCACAGGAAAGTCCCTGGCCAGCTTTCCCTGCCACCCTCTGCTCCTTTGTCAGGAAATTGTCAGGAGATTTTCAAAAATGGCACCGAGGTGATTCAGGGGTTGAGGGCTGTGTGTGGAAGATGTTCTGGTGCTTACCCCCACCCTGTGCCTTCCCAGGAAATCCCCAGTCACCGTGAAGAAGGAGGAGGAGAAGAAGCCCCACGTGAAGAAGCCTCTGAATGCCTTCATGTTGTATATGAAGGAGATGAGGGCAAAGGTGGTGGCCGAGTGCACCCTGAAGGAAAGTGCGGCCATTAACCAAATCCTGGGAAGAAAGGTAAGGCGCGCCTTTGGCCCCTCCCTGGGCCTTGTGGGTCCCTGTCCCCTATGCTGACCGCTTCCCCTCTCTCCTGCAGTGGCACAACCTGTCTCGAGAAGAGCAGGCCAAGTACTATGAGCTGGCCCGGAAGGAGCGGCAGCTTCACTCCCAGCTCTACCCGACGTGGTCAGCCCGGGACAACTATGTGAGTGGCCACACTGCTCAGGGGACACGCAGACCCCTGGAGCAACTTCACGTGCAGAGGACTCTTAAGAGAGAAAGCCATATTTCTCTAGAAATAAGAAGCCATTTTAATTCTCATAAGGTCACAAGATAGAGCCAGGCATGATGGCACACACTTGTAACCCCAGCACTCGGAGGCTGAGGCAGGAGGATCAATGCCAGTTTGAGGCTAGGCTTGGCTACATAGTGGGTTCAAGGCCAGCCTCAACTGCATACCGACGAGACTTGTTGCCCAAAAAAAGTCACAAGATAGCCTGAGGACAGACTTAAATTGTGCCCTTCCCATTTGAGCCGGACTCCACCTTTCATTCTGTATCTGTGGGGACACTATGGAGTCGGGGGGGGGGGTTCTCTAATCACAGCTGTTACTCAGCAGCTTTGCATAGGTCTGTTCTTGTTTACTTTTTACTGCTAAGAGAATTCATAGCTGCAAGAGACTTTCAGAGGGACCTGGGACCCCCCCCAAAAAGGTCAAGAAACACTACTTTAGGGAGAGAGGGGGAAAACTAGCCTGGAGGAGGGGAAGGCTGAGGCCTCCAAGAAGCCTGGGCTGCCCCTCCCTCTCCTGCCTTCTCGAGGGGCTCCCCCTCCAGCACCCTCACCTAGGGTGATCCAGAGCTGTAGGCCACTGCCCCACCTCCCCTGATCTGCAGCCCCCTGACAAGAGATTGATTATTAATCATTAACCTCGTATTTTTAATACGAATGTTGTAGTCAGCATTTTGGCAAGGGAATACATTAAATATAGGACACATAGTTTATAGGATTATTTTATGATAATTACCCAAAAAGTCAAATGCAAAGGAGTGCAAGAGAGATTAACCGCACACTAGAGGCCCAAAGAATCCAGCTGAGAGCCTGGGTCCTAGCAGTTTCTCACACAAGTCCAGCTAAAAGTTTAAGAGTTCAAGGCAGTGTCCTCCATGAATCCAGCCAGTGGCCTAGAGCCCACAGCAATGTCTCATACTTGTCCTTATTGAGGATCAGCACCTGGAGGGCCCAAAGGCCAGTGGTGGAAGCCAGAAAACCTATGCCAGTAATATGAAGCATTTGTGCCACCAAGCTGAGGGATCCACATTGGAGCCAGGAAGTGATGCTCACAGTGAAGGTCAAAGCTCCCCTGATGAAAACAGCAGTCATTCCCAGTGACAGCGAGGCCCCAAGCTCCTCTGACAAGAACAGCCTAGTTTGCATCAGGAAAACCATCCACAGCAAGCTTCTAGAAAATCAATGACCTTCCCCTCCTGTTCTCTTTTTCTGCCTATTGACAACAATCCTCAGGTGGATCCTCCACACCCAAACTACGCTGATTTAGTTCAGCTGGGCATTACAAATTGACCATTAGTTAATCCACTACAACAAGGTATTACTCTTTCTCTACTTACTTCTTCCTTTGGCTGTATTTTAGGGTAAGAAAAAGAAGAGGAAGAGAGAAAAGCAGCTGTCACAGACACAGTCCCAGCAGCAAGTCCCCGAGGCAGAGGGTGAGTCCCAGGGTCCTGTTCTCTCTGCTTCTCTCTCCCACTGTCCTGGCCACCCCTGCCTGTGGGGCATCCGGGTCTCTCCTGGCTCCATGCCCTCTGGTAGGAGCTGGCATTTGCCATACCCCCTCCCCCATAGCAGTCTCACTTCGCTTAGTTTGGGGGTGATGTTGCCTTTTTAGAGATGACCAATTAAGATGGAGAAATTGAGGGATTTTTCCGGGTTAGTCTGCTAGTTAAGTGATAGGGGTAGGATTTGATCCTGGGACTTTCTTTCTGTAAAGCCCAGGGATTTCTCAGTTCAGTCCAGTTGCATCTTTAGGATTAGGTACTAGAATCAATGCCTAAGCCAAAAATGGACTGTGATTGAAATTATCCTCAAAATTCCAATAGGCAAGTGTCCCATTAGAGACTGACATGCCACCTATCAATGAATCCAATAGAGTCAGATTCTCCCAGATGGTTCTTTGGTTGAAACAAATGATTTGGAGACATCTTGTGTGAAACATCTGTACTCTTAACTTTTTTTTTTTTTTTTTTGTACCTGGGATTGAACTTGGGACCTTGTGCTTTCGAGGCACTGGAACCACTGAGCTAAATCCCTGGCCCATGTGACCAGGATTTAGGTCACATCCTTAGGACAAGGATGCAACTGCTTGCACCCTCTACAGTGCTTCTGATCTCCTATTTCTGCCTTTCTTCCTTCCTTTCTTGCACCTACATAACTTGTGTATTCAGCTACGCAACAGTACACATATGCAAACTCTAGGCCATCGTCTACCTGCTGCTCAGCAAGTGTCCAACTCCTCTGATTGCACCAGCAGCCCAAGATTTTAAAGCAAATTGAATGGCTCCATCCCCAAAGTTAGGCGATGTAGGAAAAAAAAGTGATGCTGTAATAGATGTTGTGAAATGGATCATTTGCCCTCTAGTGTGTGGGGCATGGACAGTTTTCACATTGCCTCTGCTCTGGGTGTTCTTAAATGTGCTTTTCTAGTCTTGGAACCCTTGGAAGTAATTTCAGAACCTTCTCAGGAGCATTCTTGTTTCCAAAGCATTTGTCCCTCCCTATCCATGGGGGTTGATTCTGTGAAAAAAAAAAAACCCCATTCATTCCACAGCTACCAAAATCCATAGATGCTCCCGCCCCTTATATAAAATGGCATAATATTTGCATATAACTTACGGACATTCTCCTGTATACTTCATACCATCTCTTGATTATAATGCCCAATACAGGGTAACTAATATATAAATCGTTGTTGTGCTGTATTGTTTAGGGAATGATGGCAAAGGGGGAAAGTCTGTACATGTTAGATACAGATGCAATTGTTTTTCCTGGACATTTTCCATCCGCTCTTGATTGACTCCGCAGATTCGGACGCTGTGAACCCAGCCAGTGCAGGCCCTGCCCCCTGGTGGTCCCAGAGCTCTTAGCTACTCACTGCTGTACGTTTCCCCTAGGTGCTCTGACCTCCAAGAGCAAGAAGCCATGCGTCCAGTACCTGCCCCCTGAGAAGCCCTGCGACAGCCCTGCCTCCTCCCACGGCAGCATGCTGGACTCCCCTGCCACGCCTTCTGCGGCTTTGGCCTCGCCCGCTGCCCCGGCTGCCACCCACTCGGAGCAAGCCCAGCCCCTCTCCCTCACCACCAAGCCCGAGGCCCGGGCCCAGCTGGCTCTCCACTCGGCCGCCTTCCTGTCGGCAAAGGCTGTAGCCAGCTCCCCAGGCCAGCTGGCCAGCCAGCCTCCCCTGCTGTCGCGGCCACTCCCCCTGGGGTCCATGCCCGCTGCTCTGCTGACCTCGCCCCCTGCCTTTCCTGCCGCGCTCCACACCCACCAGGCCCTCCCTGTGCTACAAGCCCAGCCTCTGTCCTTGGTCACCAAGTCAGCCCACTAGGCTGCCCCCATCTATGCAGGCTGTCATGTTGACTCATCGAGTAGTAATGATGCAGAAGAAGGAGAAAAAAGAGGAAACTTTATTGGTCAATATTTGACCACTCTGGACTGTTCTGTAAAGTGGCTGGTAACAACAGCACTTTACATTTTGTAGATGTAACCAGTAGCTGATCTTTAGGCTTTTTTAAAAAAAACAAAACAACAAAAAAATCTTTACAAGAAAGAGAACTGAAGAGTAGTGTGTTGTTCTCCTTGTGTGTGCTGTGGTGGACAAGCCTGGGCAGAAGACACCTTCTCTACCTCTCCCTGTCTCACTCCCCCTCTCTGTTTCCTTGTCGGCCGAACTTGCCCCAGCTGCCCCCATCAGTCTGTGTGGTCAGCCTGGCCTGGAGCCCCAGCCAGGTACCACTTGACCTAGACCCATTCCTCCATGTCTCCTGGGTCCTGACCCAAGGTTTTGTCAAGTGGTCACCACCATGGGTTCTTCCCTCTTTGTCCTCTGCCCAGCATAAGGCCATGACCATGTGCGAAGACATCTTGGCCTGATTTCTTTCCACCGCCTCCCCTCGCCCTCCAGAAGGCCCTGGGTTCCATCCCAGCACCACAAAACCCTAGCTTCCAGCTTGGGGTGGGGAAAGAGGTCCTGTGAAATGTCCCGTCCCCCCCTCATTTAAAGGGACTCGAGATGCCTGCCACTTGCACGGTGAAATCTCGGTTCCTTCCCCCCGCTAGTTGAGATCTGCACCCCACAGTTCCAGAGTGGCAGCAGGACCTGGCCCTGTGGTCTGGCTCCTGCCACCTGGCTCCGTGCCAGCATAATCTGCCAAAGTCCCAAGACCTTCTGCCTCCCGCATCGCCTCACATGCTTCTTCTGTGTGTATTTCATTTTGTTTTTATGGTTTTCGGAGCAATTTTAACTCCCAGTTGTTTATTTTCACAAAAGAAAATAAAATTGCAATTGCAAGACCTTCTCGTGAGTGTTTTGTTTTTTTCAGTTCTTTTGTCCCATCCAGCTACCGAGGCCTGAGGTTTGCAAACCACCTGGGCAGTGCTGATCACAGATCCAAAGGCAGAATCTTTATTTACAGTTGACTTAAATCAGTTCACCACCTGGAAGACATTCTACGTATGCTTCATGCCCCCATCTGTCTTACAATTGCCAAGATGTGTGGAGCAGCCTTCCTGTGCTTTTCAAAGTATCTTGAACTACAATTAATATTTTTGGTAATAGCATTATTAAAATGTAATTAACTCACTTAAAATTAGTAGACAGGTTGAGTGTGATGGTGCACACCTGTAATTCCAGCATGTGGGAAGCTGAGGTAGGAGGATTGAGCAAGTTCAAGACCAGTCTGGGCTATGTAGTGAGACTTTGTCTCAAAAAAAACAAAACAAAACAAAAAAATGCATAGTGGACAGGACTGAAGTGTAGCTCAATGGAAGAGTGCTTGTGTAGCATGTAAGAGGGCCTGAGTTCAATCCCCAGCACTGAAACAAAAAAAGAAAAGTGGACGATTTTTTTGTGTGTGGTACTAGGGATTAAACTCAATAGCTCACACTGCATGCTTCATACAGGTAGAAATATACAGTATTTTTTCTTTTGTGTCTGGCTTATTTCACATACATGTTTTCAAGGCTCACCTATGTTGTAGCATGTATCACAATTTCACTCTTTTCTGGCTGGACACACTTCCTCGTACATTGCGCTTTTTTGCTGACTTGAGGTCTCAGGAGTGGCTGCAAACTCTAGCCATGCCCTGTGGGGCCCCAGGGGAGAGGTCACAATGTGCAGTGTGCCTTCCACGGGGGACTTCATCCTGGCAGACAGCCCAATGCCTAAGTGTCTGGCCAGGTGTCCCGCTCTAGAAGACCTGTTTACACCGACAGACGCCCATGGCTCCCGTCTGACCTGGGGCGGGTTTATTCCTACCATGATAGGCACTCTCCAGGAGAGAAGGCACAGGCAGCCCAGCACAGTACAAGAAAGGCCAGAAGCAGAGTTCTTACGAATCAGAGGGAAGAGGGCAGCATGCCTCACAGAGCCAATGGTTTTCTCTCCCAGCCACCTGGGCCACTCCACCCATGCCCAGCCAGTGGGTGAAGAGCAGCAGAGAAATGGAAGGACCCATGGACCCAGGCCTTTATTGGGTCCAGGGCACTATTCTAGCAGGCTTCCCTTGGGAAGTTCTAGTTGATGGGTTTCGGGTAAGCAGGCACAAGTTCATGGAGTCACACTGTGACAGAGCTCGTCACTAGCATTTCCAGGCAGGCCAAGTAGGGTGTGGGGTCGGGCCAGTTAAGTAGTTGGGCACCTCATTTCTCTGCCCACCCCCCAGTACTTGGGATTGAACCTAGGGCCTTCACACTGAACTGCATCCCCAGCCCTTTCTATATTTTTTTATTTTGAGGCACAGTCTTCCTAAATTGCCAGGCTGGACTTGAATTTGCATTCCTCCTGCCTCAGCTTCCCAGACTGCTGGGATTACAGGTGTGCACCACCACACTCAGCTTCCGCTTTGGATACAGCTTTAGATCGTGTCATTCTACAATGAACTGTTGTTTTTAATTGTCTCATTCCCTGAACAAAGACTGACCAGTTGGATTCAAATACTGTTGCCTTTCGAGGTGGCACACGCCAGTGATCCCAGCACCCTGGGAGGCTGAAGCTGATGGATCACAAACCTGAACCCAGCCTGGACAACTTAGTGACTTAGTGAGACCCTGTTGCAAAATAAAAAGTAAAGGGCTAGGGATGTAGCTTAGTGCAAAGGCCCTGGATTCAGTCCCCACTACCTAAAAAAAAATAAATAAAAATTTTAAAAAACAACCTACTGAACTATCTAGTGCCTGAACTTTGGTTTGTTTGATTTTGCCAGGGAAATGATCATCAGGAGGTGTTTGTGCATGGCAGGTATCAGGTAGTTTCTACTTACCTTCCTCACCACTTACCCGGCTGCAACCTGGCGTGACTCTCAGCTCGCCCCTGAAATAGCCAAGTCCTTACTTAAGAGCTGAGGATTTAGCTCAGTGGTAGAACACTCCCCTAGGATGCACAAGGCCCTGAGTTCAATCCCCATGACTGAAAAAAAAGCCCTTACTTCAACTCTGTGCTGTGTTTAAGATGATTTCACTTTCTAGAAACACTCAGCTCTGTAACAATCAGGAAACCTCCGAGGATGGAGAGAAAGAAACTAGAAAAGGTGATAGTGTCCCAAAGACAGGTGACTTTATTAGTGCCACCTAATGCTATGAAGATGCCTGCACAATAGGAATTATACATATGGTTTTGTACCTTGCTTTATTTTCAGTTAACTATTGTATGCACATATATGCTATCAACAAGGGAGGCTGGTGTACCTGTAATCCCAGCTACTTGGGAGGCTGAGGCAGGGAGATCACAAGTTTGAGGCCAGTCTGGGGCAACTTAGTGAGGCCCTGACTCAAAATTTTAAAATAAATAAAAGGATCTGGGGGTATAGTCCAGTAGTAGAGCACTTGCCTGATGTGCATAAGCCCCAGGGTCCATCTCCAACCGCACACAAAAAAACCCAACAAAATATTCATGATAATACCTCTAAATTAAGGATATTTTTATTTTCTTAATACAAGTTACCTTAACATAAATAAAAATGAATTGCCTTCATCTTCTAATTTTTGTATAATAAATGTATTATAATAAATTTTATATCCTTAATTATATGCTACATACCATGTTGAACACTGTACTTCACATGAATCACCTAATTCTCAAAAATTTTTCCCCATTTCATAATGAAACTAATATTTAAAGTAATTAAGTAAATTGTCCATGGTCATGTGAATTATTTTTGCAGTGTATATTAAAGAATCACAGTCAGGCACTATTTTTCTATTAGTCTGGTGGATTAAGAATACTCACTGCTAGGTGTATGCTATAATGCTTGTCTGTGGTCTCAGCTACTCAGTAAGCAGAGGCAGGAGGGTCTTTTTTGAGACAGGGTCATTCTCTGTAGTTCAGGCTATCCTTGAGCTTACTATGTAGCCCAGACTGGCCTCAAACTCACAGCAATCCTGCCTCAACCTCCTGAGTGCTTGGATTACAGGCATGCACCACAATGCCCAGCTTTGGGATTTTTTGTTGTTGGGGGTGGTTTTCGGGGTTGGTTTTTTGGGGTTTTTTTTGCTTTTTTGAGACTGGGTTTCGCTATGTACTTCAGGCTGGCCTCAAACTCACAGGAATCCTCCTGCCTCAGCCTTCCAAGTGCTGAGATTACAGGTGTGCACTACCACACCTGACTGGCAGGAGCTCTCTTGAGCCCAAGAGCTCAAGACCAGCCAGTCCAGGCAATATAGTGTGATCCTATCTCAAAAAAATAGTCACTGCTTTCAGAGGCTTGATAACAAAACACCTTGACCTGAAGCAAATTGGTCAATCTTTTGAGCATTACCAGGGATCAAACTCAGGACCTTGTGCTTGCGAGGCAGGCGGTAGAACCACTGAGCTTAATCCCCGGCCCTGCTCATCTTTGAAAACACCTCACCAGTACCTGATGATAGTTACCAGCAAAAACCAAATGCAGATATCCAATACTAAGAAAACTGTCACAGTTATCACAAACTCATAAATTACTGTTTATGAAACCTTTAACAATTATGTTTTAAACACTGGTTCGTTGAGAAAGTGGTTCCCACATTTGCCTTTGAACTTAATGCTTGGATTTCCAACTACTCCCCTGACTTCTCCACTGGGTGCCTCCTACTCATTCTAAATGAAGACTTGCCTGAAGCCAACCCATTTCCTTGACTGCTCCCTCACACTCGCCCCCCCCCCACCTGGAGAAAAGGCCCCTCCCAGCCCCTCACCATCAGCCCTGGCCTTGGACTAATCATCCCCTTCTCACATTCATCTCCATCCTGGCCACCACCCTCCACTGACCTGTCCCTGTGCCAGTCCGACGTGGACTATTGCAACACTCTCCTAAATGATTAACTCCTAAATCCACTTTCCCCTCCCCACCCAAGTGGATTCTTCATGACACAGCCAGTGTAATATTCAAACATTCCCGACTATCTCTATCTTGCCCCTACTTAAACCTCTTCAATGGCTTATCCTTACTGTTCAGCTAAAACGGAGCCCTGGGCAGGGTGTGCAAGCTCACACAATCTGGACTCCTTTCCTTTCCTGCCTAGTAACTCGGACTGGGACTCCGGGTCAGCCTTGGATAATTTGCCATTGTCCTACCCCACCACACACACACCCTCACTAAGCCAACCTCCTAAAAGCTATTCAAACATTTGCTGAAGGCAGGTGGAGAAAATTTTCTTTTAGAAACAAATTCAGGCGTTGATTCACTTCCTTTTAGCCAAAGCAGACTCAACATTCTAAAACATTTGGGAGGGAAAAATGTTTTTTGCAGTGATGGAGAGGGAAGCACTGTACCACGGAGCTAGACCCCCAGGCCTGAAATAATGTGGTGAAAAATTTCTCTGTGAGAAATCTCGTTCTCTTCAGAAATGAGTGAGCGTGTGTCTCTGATCAAGAGATGGAGCAGGAGGGCAGGGAAAGGTGAGGGAAAGAGGAATTGGATGTGTTATGCACATGTACCAACTCCACCAAGGAATGTGAACGTTAATTATTACAATCATGTACTGATAAAGAAAATGACCTGAAAAATGGAGCATATTAAAGGGTTTCTAATTTCAAGAACAAAAGAAAGCATTTGTTCCTGAAAACTGTATCTGTACATGTACTATTCTTTGAAATTCTGAAAAATTTCAACCAACCAGAACTGGATCACACGTAACAAATACTGTACTCAGAGACTGCAGAGCGGTGGTAATTCCCCGGGTGGCTGTCATCCTTTCAGGCAGGAGTGGCACCAGTTTACAGTTCAACCAGAGTTAACTGGAATATTTTTATTTTACTTTTGTATCTCACAGAAATTTGTGGGGGGAATGAAAAAAGAATTAAGACTGTGATGTACATGTACCAATTCCCCATGACGAATGTAATTCTTATGTACTGCAAACATGGTTCATAAAAATAACAATAAAAGAAATTTAGCTTCTGGACAACTCCCAGGTCCTTTGTTCCTTAATCTGGTTTTGCTCCAGCCTCATCCCTTGCCATTCTCCTTGCTGTTATTCTACAAGCCTGGTCTTTAGGTTTATGCAGAACACTAGGTTCCCACCGGTCTGCAGCCCACTGCACATGCTGAAGTCTCAGCCAAGGAAGCTCATCCTCCTCTTTCCTTCAGCCTCATCTGAGACTCCCACAGCCTGTAGCCCTCAGCTACCAAGGTCCCCTCTTCCACTGATTACTACTTTCCATTCTTGGCATTCTTGAAATGCATGCATGCACACACACTTTGTTTAATATATATGTGTCTAACTAGATTATGTGCTCTGTGAGATTAAAGGCTATCATTTTTCCTCCTCTAGAAACAGTGTCTTACTGTGTTGCTCAAGTTGGCCCTAAACTTTCCAGCTCAAGTCATCTTCCTGCCTCAACCTCCCCAATATCTGGGACTTAGATTTTTTGCTACTGAGCCCAGCTAAAACCTATAATTTTAAAAATCACCATCTAACAAGCCCAAGGTCCTGAGTTTGATCCCCGGTACAAAAAAATAAATAAATAAATCACCGTCTACAAAACATCTAGCCTGGCAAAATGTTCACAAAATGATTTCAAGCCAGGCTTGGTGGCCCACGCCTGTAATCCTAGCACTCAGAAGGATGAGGCAGGTGGATTACCCTAAATTCGAGGCCAGCCTGGGCTACGTAGTGAATTCAGAGCCAGCCTGAACTTCATAGTGAGATCCTGTCTCAAAACAAACAAACAAAAAAACCAAAATGACTTCAAGCAACACAGTTTTAAATACACCAGGGTGTAAACAACGGGATGGGATATAAAACTATTCAGTGAACCGAATTTGGAGAGAAAACGAACATGTGCAGAAAAAAGAGAAACATCAAATAAGAAGGAAAAGAAAATGAGTACATTGCATTTGTCTTTAAAAACTACATGTGGGCTTGGTGTGGTGATGCACGCCTGAGTCCAGCACTCGGGTGGCCAAGGCAGGATTCGAGGCCAACCTGGGATACATAGTGAGTTCAAGACCAGCCTGAATTGCAGTTCAAGGCTTTGTCTCAAAAAAACAGAAAACAAAACCAAAAAAAACTTCATGCGGGTCTACGAGTATAGCTCAGTGGTAGCTCAAGTGGTTAGCATACAGAAGACCCAGGGTTCCATTTTCATTTTTGAACCATTAAGAATGTTTAAATGTTTGCAAGGCAGAAAATACACTAAGAAGGTTGAGGCTAAGACTTTGTCTTCTTGGTGTTTTTTTTTTTGTTTTTTTTGTTTTTTTGGTACCGGGGATCGAACTCGGGTCCTTGAGCTTGCGCAGCAGGCAGCCGAAACCACTGAGCTAAATCCCCGGCCCTTCTTCTTGGATTTTTATGATTAGAAAAAGAATGAACTTTTTAGAAATGATCTTTGGCGACCTATTTCCGCCAGGTCAGGAGGGAGGAGAGCCAGGACGCAGACTACCGCTACAAAGGTGACGATGGGTCTGTTTCTACATGCGAAAGAGCTGAATACAGATGGTTTTGGGGTGCTGTGCGGAAGGCACATGAAAGGGAAAGGTGAGAGCTCCGGGCGGAGGATAGGGAACGAGTGCCAGGCCTGCACTCAGCGGGCTGCCCGGAAGTGCGAGGAGAGAAGAGAAAAGGGGGTGCTGCTCTCTTGGGGCTGCACGACCAAGACTGCAACAGAGGACCACGTCCGGCCAGGACCGCGGCATGTCAGCCCCACAGGTTCCGCGGAAGGCGGGGCTGCGCGCACCGGAAGGGGCGGTGCTTCGGAAAAGAGCCCTGTGCGCGGCTCTCTCGAGAACAGTGGAGAGCGGAAGCGCAGTCTGTACAGGATGCGGTTCCTGGTTGCGTTACTCCTGCTGAGTGTCGCAGCGGCGGGTAAGAACCCCCTGCCCTTCCCACTCTTGGCCCCAGGCCCACCACTTTCATTCACCTTTCCAGTCACCACCTGTCCTCGCTTTTTTTCTGTCGTGCGCACCCTTCTGTTCGCTCCCACTCCCCTTCCCCGAGTTCGCCCATCGCCCTCGGTCTCTTCAGCTCTAAGGAGTCCTCTGCTCTTATCCCGGCCTGCCCCTCCCCAGGCCTTAATATTGGTTTTTCTATTTCCGTAGCCTCGCCGACCGCACCGCCGTCAAACCAAAATCAGAACCCCAACACCAGGGAAGAAACTGCTACATCTCAGCCTTCTACAGACAACGGCGGCGACCACAGCCCTTCCCCCGGCACCCAGCTGTCTAATCGGGAAGATCCACGCTCTCCGTCGGAGTCCAGGCAACCATCCGAGAGAGACCAGGGCAGGTCGGAGACTCAGCAGCAGTCCCCCAGACAAGACTCAGAGAAGTCGGAAACCCAGCAGACCCCGAAACCAGAACCCAGCAGTTCGGAAGCTCAACAGCAGACCCCAAAGAAACCAGACCCCGACGGGTCGGAGACGCAGCAGCAACTGAATCCGGACCCTAACAGATCGGATATGCAGCACTCCCGGAAACCAGACCCTGACAAGCCGAAAGCTCAACAGCAGCCCCCAGAGAAACCAGACCCTGACAAATCGGAGGTGCAACAGCAGCCCCCGGTACACGTCCCCAGTAGGTCAGAAGTGCAGACACAGACTCCAAAACAAGATCCTGGCAAGTTGGACTCAGTGCAGCAGTCCACACAAGAACACTCCAAGCCCTTATCTAACCCCTCTGGTAACAAGGGGACCTCTGAGATTGACAAAACCCGACTACCTGAAAAGGGAGAGACCTCACTTCATGCTTCCAAGACTGAACTGACAATCGACTCTGACCTCTCTGCACCTGGGCAGGAGGGAGAAGACAAATCTTCAGAAACTACTCAGGATGTGGAGCCCAAGGAGGCCGAAGAAGGTGATACAGGGCCAGAGGAGGGATCGCCTCCTGAAGAAGAGAAAGAAAAGATGTCAGGGCCTGTCTCCAGTGAGAACCGGGAAGGGACACTTTTGGATTCCATGAACAGTGAGAAGGATGACCTGTATAAGAACAATCTTGGAAGTGCCAGTGCAGAGAGCAGTCACTTCTTTGCATATCTGGTGACTGCAGCCATTCTTGTTGCTGTTCTGTATGTTGCCTATCACAACAAACGGAAGGTAAGTCAAGCATAGCCTCAAGAGAAAGGAATGGAATTTCCTCCACCCTGAAAATGTGGCATGGGCAGGTATCTATCCCTCAGCTGTCAGTGAGGACTGGGGATTTTAAGACAAACTTTAATTTTTCCTCAAAGCCTGCTAGGACTCTTTATTCTTGTAAATCACATGTTTTCATCATGTGACCTGTTGCTGCATTAGGTGCCAAATTAGGACGTCGTTATGACCTGACCCAAAATGGGATCTCCGCCCCAATCCTTGAACTTAGGACCTTCCCAGCCTCATTGGACCTGAATACTTGACACATGGAGGTCTTCTTGTCCCTTTTTCCATGCCTGACATAGCATATCATTTCTAGTTTTCTTTCCCAACCTATTTTGCATCTGTATTGGCAGAAAGAACAGTTTTGGTTAGGTATCACAACAAAGAGCCCATGAACTCTCTTCTGCAATCAATGAGAATTAGAAGAAAGCCCACAGGGGCCAGGGATTTAGCTCAGCGGTTCTGCAGCCTGCCTCACAAGCGCAAGGACCCAAGTTCGATCCCTGGTACCCAAAAAAAAAGCCCAGAAATTTCAGATAGCCATTTTTTCTTTCTTTTTTGGTACTGAACTTTTTTTTTTTGAACTCAGGACCTTGCACTTGCCAGGAAGGTGCGGTGCCACTAAGCTATGTCCCCGGCCAGATAGCCCCCCCGCTTTTTTTTGCCTTACTAGGAATTGAACCCAGACTTTCACACTGAGCTACATCCTGAGCCCTTTTTATTTTTTATTTTGAGACAGGGTCTTGTTACATTGCTTGGTTGCCTAGGCTGGGCTTGAACCTGTAATCCTCCTGCCTCTGTCTCCGAGAGTGCTGGGATTATAGGCATGTGCCACCACACCTGGCTCACACATCTTTTATTCTTTAGCAACATGGGTATGAAGTGATTCTCTGTCCCTTAGTAACCAGTCTAAATGATTGCATTTTCTATGTGAGCCCTGAGAATTTAGAAAATTGGTTTAATGGCTTGGTTAAAACTGGAGGATTCAGTCCATGATGGCTATTAGGCCTATGGCTATAAAGAATGAGGGCAGACCAGTAGTAAAAATGTGCCTTCCTTATTTTCCAAGTGTTTATGAAAGTAGTGAAGTTAAGAGTGTGGTTGATGGCCAGGTGTGGTGGGGCACGCCTGCAGTCCTAGCTATTCAGGAGGCTGAGACAAGAAGATGTAAGTTCCCAGGCCACCCTGGGCAATTTAATGAGACTCTTGTCTCAAAATTTAAAAAACAAACAACCAGCCATAGGCTGGTGATATAGCTCAGTAGTAGAGAGCACTTGCCCAAAAGGTGCATTGCCCTGGGTTCAATCCCCAGCACCCCCCCCCCGAAAAAAAAGAAAAAGCGGTTGATAAAGCACAGTGTGGGGTGGGCTGGGGATGTTGCTCAGCGGCAAGCACCTACCTGGCAAGCGCAAGGCCCTGAGTTCAATTCTCAGTACAAAAAAAGAAAAGCACAGTGTAGGGGTGAGGAGTACATTCCTAGATAGGAAACAATTACTGATTATGATTTTAAAAAAGGAATGACCTATGCTAAAGCATAGGGGAGTGCTTGGCAGATCTTTGACTGAGCATCCTAGATCAGAGCATACAGATTTCCACAAGCTAGAGCCCAGAATAGCTTTCCTCCATTTGTCATTTCTTATTAAGCAGCATTCTGATATGATTAGGCCCCGTTCCTAAAATCATTACAATTTTTTTTTATGTGTGGTGCTGAGGATTGAACCCAAAGCCTCTAACATGTTAGGCAAGTGCCGTACCACTGAGCTACACCTTTGCCTGGTAGGCCACCTGGCTAGCATGTGCAAGGCCCTGAGTTTGATCCCCAGCACCACACATACAAGGTTTAGGCCTTTCTCTGGGTGTCTGCTTCTTTCTTCAACCAGGGTCATTAACTAATACTGTGGGGTGACTGCCTGCCTCTGATTTTAGAGACTGAAATAATATCATTACAGAGCCATCTTTTAATTCTTTTCTTTTTGCTTTTTCCAGATCATTGCTTTTGCCCTGGAAGGAAAAAGATCCAAAGTCACTCGACGACCAAAAGCGAGTGACTACCAGCGTTTGAACCTAAAGGTAAGGAAGGAGCCATGTTCCCAGGAGGATGTGCAACAGACAGGCACAGCAGTGGGCTGGCATTTGGCATGGTGGCAGCAGCTGAGGGTGCTGTCATTCCCCCCACCCCTTTTCAGACTGCAAACTAGAACCATCCGCATACTGTGTATGTACCCTCAGAGTTAGAGCTAGAAGAGACCTTTCTTTACTATAGATAAAGGGACAAGCCTGCCCCCCAAAACGCTGTCATTTTCTTCCTGAGTTCCCATTCAAAGTTAGGACCCAATGGCAATTCTCTAGACTCCTAGGCCTGGGTTTTTTGCTGTACACTAACTGGTCACAAACTTAATAGGCATATGAGTCACCTTGGGAAATGGGATAAAAAGTAAAATCTGATTTACTACATGTGGGGTGGAGCTGGTGTATCCACATTTCAAGGAAGTTCCCAGAAGATCAAACACTGCTGGAACCACACTTCAGGTGGCAAAGCGCACTACACTGTGTTCCCCAAGTGAGTGCAGAAGCCACAGGCCTCCTGCTGCCTGGATCAGGCTCTGTGAGCTGCACCTTCTGAGTGTGGCCAGTCTCCCTCTGTCAGGGAGAAAATCCCTCCCTCCATCCCACAGCCCCAGGAGCTGAGCAGGGTTTGGGGGGCGAGGAGTGGGGCAGGCGGTGCTATCTCTCAGCAGGAAATCTGCACTCCCAAGGGGCTGCTGACAGCAGGAACCTTTCCCGCTCCAGTTCTGTTTAGCAACAGGGAGGGCATTGGTAAAGATCAGTCAGTGGCCAGCTGTGAATTGTTCCAGACTTCCTGCAGGGAGCACAGCTCATTTGTACCACTCATACCAGCTACAGAATAAACCACTTCACTCAGTTCATAATTAGCCCACTACTCTCCCTGATAATTGACATAAGGGATTTTTTTCATTCATCGTAATGGTTCCCTACCCCCACTGGAAACAAAATATTAAACAATTACACGAGCGTATAAAGCAGAAGCCAGGATTCCCGTATTTCTTCTATCAAGTGTATTTCTAGTGTATGTTTTGCTTCATATTAACTTTAAGACTCATTAATGTGTTTTGTTTTTCTATTTTTAAGACAAGGTTTCACTCTGAACTCTCTTCAATCCTCCTGCCTCAGCCTCCTGAGTCCTGGGATTACAGGCATGTGCCACCACACCCAGCAAGACTCATTGATGTTCTGGCATAGTGCATACCTGTAAGCTCAGATACTCCAGAGGCTGAAGTAGGGAGATCACATGTTTGAGTCCATTTTGGGCAACTTAATGAGACTCTGATTCAAAAAATTTTAAGAAAAGGACTGGGGATGTAGCTCAGTGCTTGGCTACCATATTCGAGACCCTAGGTACAATCCCCAGTACAGCCAAAAAAAAAATTAAAAAATAGGGGCCTGGGATTTAGCTCAGTGGTTCCACTGCCTGCCTCAGAAGCACAAGGTCCCAAGTTCAAACCCCAGTACCAAAAAAAAAAAAAAATTAACAAATATCCTTTGGGCCGGGGATTTAGCTCAGTGGTTCTGCTGCCTGCCTGGCAAGCACAAGGTCCCAAGTTCAATCCCTGGTACCAAAAAAAATAAAATAAAAAATAAAAAAAATAAAGATAAAAAGAATCTTTTTTTTTTTTTTTTGGCTAAGGCCTCACACATGATAGGCAAAACTCTTATTTCCCTAGCCTTTATTTCTGTGAATTGCTGTCTTACTGTAATGGATCAGATTGTCTTAATTCTGTCCGTTTTGTTTTTGTTTTTGGTACTGGGACTCAAACTCCTCACGCTTGCCAGGCAGGTACTGCACTGCTGAAGATTGTCTTAATTCTGAATCTTTTCCTTCAACTGCAGTTGCTGTAAGATCAACAGTATGGTGGTATATTCTACTAGAAAAAGATAAGTGTAGGACTGGGGATTTAACTCAGTGGTTTCGCCACCTGCTGCGCAAGTGTAAGGACCCGAGATCAATACCTGTACCAAAAAAAAAAAAAAAAGATAAATGTAACCAATGGACTGTGTTGCTCTCATTTCAGCTTTGATTTATAACTGCAAGAACCTTGTCCTCCCTGCTGATTTGTTTCCAAATCAAGAAAAATGAAGAAAAAAGTAATGTGACCTCCAGTGGGGTTTGACAGCAAGTCTTGCAGAGGTGGGGGCCATTGCTTTGGGTTTTGCACCTGCACTTTGGTGGCATTGTACTTCTGTGTTCCCTGTATTTATCCTGGTGTGTTCCATCCATCCTTTCCTTCTCCGAGGGAGCGTGTGGAAACATGGCTATGACCAAAGGGACACCCCAGGCCTGGGCAGGCTACACTGCTGTCTACCTTCCCTTGTGTTGGCTTCGTGGCTGTGCAGTAAGTTAGCCCTTAACCTTGGCATTGCTCTGCGCTACTTACCTTTGCAGATGTAGGAGAAAACTGCAAGTAGAGATACCTAAGGGGTGTAGAAGATGGTGAAGTACTAGAAGGCAGAGGTCTACTTAGAGCACATAATTCTCTACAGAGGCTTCAACAGCAACCCCAAACAGGTTAAAAGGTGCTTTATTGCCTGCAAGTCTGACCCACTTAGCATAAGTTCTCCATGTTTTTCTGATAGTGTATTTTGTATCACTTGGGACAAAGCAAATCCACTTCTGTCTGGTAGTACTGAACACAAAACTGAGCCTGAGGTTTCTGTAAGGGAAGCCACTGTTCCCATCAGAATTTTTACAAATGTGGTTGCACTTGTTGAAATAGGAACTTTAAAAAGGGCAAGTTCATGCTCTCTGAAAGAAAACATGTAAGAGGGTTTTGGTCTGGATTTTTTTCAAGGGCCTTTATGAAACAAGTTTCCCAGATACTCTATTTTGCCTTTATTGCCTAAAATAGACAAAACAGATTTATATATAGAAACTAACTCCACTCTCTGTCCATTTTACCTTAATCTCCTTAATGGTCTTTTCATCTAAGATGCCAAGGATAATTAGTAAAAATTCTGCCATCCCATGTCAAGGGTCATTAAATTTTTTAAAATCCAGTGGGCTCCCTGGGTTACCTTAGAGTAGTGTCTTGGGTCACACGTTGGTTTCAAGTTTTATTTTAGTCTGTTCTAGTCGAGCTGCCCTAGGACTGAGAGGCTGGAGGGTCAGTAGCTAATCTCAGGGATGTGCCAGGAATGTCGGAGGGGAGGAAATACATGAGTTTGGTGCTGTGGAAGAAGTCTATCTGAAGAAGAGACCATCCTGATTGCTTCAGTTTCCCACCTGGCTGACAGCAGCCCATGGCTCAGAGTTGAAGTTTTCACTGTTGGCCGGTAGCACAAGATGGAGCAGAGGAGTGGGTGCATAGTCTCCTTGGCATCATTCCCTCTACTTGTGCAGTCTTTTTTCTTTTTTTTGATACCGGGGATCGAACTTGGGTCCTTGGGCTTGCGCAGCAGGCAGTGAAACCACTGAGCTAAATCCCCGGCCCCTGTGCAGTCTTAACGTTATTTTCTTCCAACCAGAGGAATTCTCTCAGGCTTCTCCAGCATTCGCTCAGACACTAGTTATTTTATTCCCCTCTCTGCCTTCCCAAACTGTCTTCCCTCCTCTAGTGTTTTCTGTTTGTGCCCATCTTCAGTGGCACCTTCCCTCTGGCCCTTATGCATGCCCAGATTTCCCCAGCTCCCACCCATGCTATTTGTCATTCTGCTATTCTGCTGCTCCAGAAGTGTTGCTTTGCCATTAGTTCTCTTCGTGGCTTTTGCATACATTATTCACTTTGGTCCCTGTCTTTCTTTTGTTTCCAAGGGTTAGGCACTTATCAGATCACCAAATCCAATGGCTCATTCTCACAGTGTGGTCTTGTACTTCATAGAATTGGACACTGCTGACCATGCACATGGACACTCCCTTTCTTGGTGTCTTTGACACCGTCTGGTGCCTTTGCCTATGCTGGAGGGGAAGAAGTTCTCTGAACCAGGCCTCCAGTCCTTTCACTCTCTTCAAAAATGCATCTATTCTTCATCTTCTTAAGTGATGACTCCTATTTTTATCCTTGGCCTACTTCCCAAAGAACCCAGGCATATGATTTGCTAAATAGTTCAGCTGTTGTCTCTAAAAATTGAATTTCACGGGCTGGGAATTTAGCTCGGTGGTCTCATCGCCTGCTGCGCAAGTGCAAGGACCTGAGTTCGATCCCTGGTACCAAAAAAAAAAAAATTGAATTTCACTCTTCTTATCTATTGTACTCCTCTCAGCTGCCCAATATTTCCAGCTACAATCTGTCTTTCCATTTTCCTTGCTTCCCCTATCCCACACCTCCAGCCATTTCACTTTTCTGTGAATAGTTTTTTCAGGAATCACTTTAATTGGTTCTCCTGTCCACCATCTCAGAAAGATAATTTTGGAAACACTGATGTTTCCAGAAAGAGACAGAAGCCTCTGTCTAGACCTTTCATGGGTTAGAATCAAGTTACGGACTGTAGTATTCAGGACTCTGCATAGTGACATCTTCCTGTCTTTTTCTGACAAAGCCAAAGCTCCCTCATGTTGAGTGTCCATCTTTGACTCTGTCCTGCATTTCCCAGCTTCCTACGGTTGTTGTTTAGGTTTTCTCCCATCTTTTGCTGTCCTCAAGTCCCCATTTCTTCAGGACTCAGCCCAAGTTTTCTATTCCTTCCTCACTGCCCCACACCATGAGATTGGCTCATTTTGTTCTACTCCAATAGCTCTTAATAATACCACTGACTTATATTGGAACTTCAGTAGAACAGGGCAGTCAGTATCTGATGTCATGCTGGTCTCCCCAAGAAACCTAAGCTCTTGAGAGACAACCCTTGGCACTGTTACAGCATAGTGACATTCCTTAGGCACGTTGGGAGTTTTCTTCCCTCATGTGACTTCAACGAGGGCAAACAGCTTTCTGGCTACTGGATTCTGTGACCTTATACATGTTGGCTTTTGCTCTTAAAGAGAACAAGAAGATAAGTTGGTTTCAAAAACCAAGGTTGGCCACAAGTAGACACATGACTGTCGTGGAGTCCACTTGGCTCAACCCTTTGAGCCCCTGAGAAGTATCACTGCTTGTGCTGAGAGTGCACTGGAGGAACTCTCTCACACCAAAGGAAACCTGTGGTGTGGATGAGGGTGAGCTGGCTGAGGCACTTCCGGCCAGGGTTTGGCTGGGCAGCTGTGTGTAGGAAGCACACAGAGGCTCCCTGCAGAGACTGTGGGCTTCTTCTCCTGCCCCACCTTGGGTAGAAGGGCAATTTTTGTTAGGGTGAATCTGTCCAAGTCATGGATGTTAATAGAGGACCTTGTTTTCTTGCTACAGATTACTGAGTACATTGCTTTCTTGGGGGGGGGGGGGTTGGTACCGGGGATCGAACTTGGGTCCTTGCGCTTGCGAGGCAGGCAGCGGAACCACTGAGCTAAATCCCCGGCCCGAATCTGAGTACATTGTTTAGAGTTCATGTCTGGATTCTGAGGGGGTGAAGGCCAGTGCATCTAGAAAGCCTAAGACCACTCAGAAAAGACCTGACAACTAACTATACTGACATTCTTTTTCCGCATTGATGGCTTTTAATGAAACATTCAGTGATAGAACTCTGTACCTCTAAAATTCCCGATGGTTATATTCATTTTCTTCTCCAGTCTTTGTTTTTACAGGGTAACTTGGTACATAATGCTGGATGTGATGAAAGCTAGAGCACCTTACACATGTTCTCAACCATTTGAACATGGAGGAAGGTGTACACCACCAAACCTGTGTACACCAAACCTGTGGTTCCACCAGGCTCTTTCCTGAAAACCCTTGCTAGGAAGGTTGAGTTTGGCATTGCTTGCTTAAGGATGCTGGAAAGAAATTTTTTTTTTTTTTTTTTTGGTATTGGGGATCGAACTCGGGTCCCTGCATTTGCAGGGCAGACGGCAGAACCACTGAGCTAAATCCCCGGCCCTGGAAAGAAATTTTTTGAGGTTTAATGTTAACTGTACATCCAGAGCCAGGAGAGACTTTCAGCTCAGCTAGATCTATAAGTTAGATGTGAATTTCCTAAATACTCCAGTTTAGAAACTTGTCTGTAAAGGGTTTGTGTCTGAGCTGTATAGTATGGAAACTGCCAACAAAGCCAGCCTCCTTACACTCTGATAGATTTTCTTTTAACTCACGAGAGACCATGTTAAGTGAACATTTGATTGTTGAAATTGTTTCCCTTCTCTTTTGTTTGCCTGATTAGTAGATTGCCACTGTTTAGCAATGTTTTATATTTTAAATTTTTTGTAACTTAATTAACTTTATATTTTTTAAAGCTTATTGTGGTCTAATGATAAGTATTTCTCAGTATGTGATGTTTTACTGAGCTTCTATAAATGCCATGTCACTGTAGTTTTGTGTTATTGAACAGAAACCAAAATAAATTTAAGATATCAAAGCAATGAAATTTATTAAATTTATTAGTGCTATATCAAATAAGGCTAACATAAGGCTGTTATTATTCTTAATCTTTAGCCTTTATCTCACCTTCCCATTCATCCTCCACACTGTTTGAACAGCCCTAATCTGAAATTCAAAATGCTGTAAAATTCAAAGCGTTTTGAGTGCCACCATGACCTTATCTGATAGGTCACAGCCAAAATGCACAAAATACGGCCGGGGATTTAGCTCAGTGGTTCCCACGCCTGCCTCGCAAGCGGAAGGACCTGAGTTTGATCCCTGGTACCAAAAAAAAAAAAATGCACAAAATAATTTAAATGTTGTTTAAAATTACTCTCATGAAACAAATGAATTATGTGTTTGGACCTGGGTCCTATCCTCAAGATATCTCATTATGTGTAGGCAAATATTCCAAAACTTGAAAAGAATCGGAAATTCTAATCCCAAGCATTTTGGAAAAGGGATGCTCAACTTATGTTCCAGCAAACTGCAGATGCCATCTGTGGGTGGCTTTCCATGTTCTGGGCCTGACTCCTCACCCCGACCCTCCTCCCGGCCAGCCAGGGGACACCGAGGCCCATGTCCTGGCACACACTGTTGCCTCAGTGATGTCCAGCTGTGGCCTTGATCTGGTACACTCCTTCAGCCCGCACCAGTCCCAGCCAAGTCAGGCCAATCTGTCCTGGCCACTAACATCACCTTCCCTGTGTAACCGAGAGGACGGGGCTGAGAGTGTCTTGGCATCAGCACATTGAGAGGCAGGTGCCACCCCACTCATGTGAAGGTGTAGAATCCAATACAGCACTAAGAGTGAACAGGAGGAAAAACCTCACGGCAGGACTGGACTGACCTGCTTCCACCGAGCAGCACTTTCAGAGGCTCTGTACACTGAACTCTAGAATCCACTTTGATTGTCCAGAGCTGGGAGGTATGGGGAAGGGACCAGAGTGTGCCTATTACAAGCCATGGTGGGTGTGGACAGCAGCAGCCCAGAACAGCGTGTTGTAAAACGTATAAAGATCATCACCTGTCCCAGCTGCAAGAGCTGCAGCTGAACACTGATTTACATTATGCCTAAATCAAAAACAAATCTGTGTGCTTTTTGTGTGCAGATCTAATGGAGAAAAGCAGTATGGGTAAGTCAGGGGAGGTGCAAATTCCACTGACTCATCCCTAGCCAAACTACTGCTGCTTCTTCTGTGCCTGGACCCTTGAGCCAAGATCCTTGAGGTCTGAGTACAAGTTCCGCTTCAGGATGGCACTGCTGCACAGCAGGGCCCCTTGCAGGGCCCCTAACAGCCCACAGGTGAAGATGTCCTGGCCTAGGAGACAAGAGCAGAGGCCATGAGTGTCACCCCCAGAGAGAGAGGGAGGCAGGGCCACCCAGAGAGGGCCTCAGATGAGGACCAGGGGTACAGAGCTGCAGGGGACCCCAGGGCCTGAGGATGGCAACAAAGGACTTGGGGCTGGGGAGGCCAGAGGTCTCAGATCCTGGCCCCTAGGGCAGTGTACCTGTCAGGTAGAGGTTGGGGATTGGGCTCCGGGCCCTCATCGAGGCCATCACACTAGGATGCAGGCGGCCCAGGTCATGGTCAGCCCCATAGGTGGCACCTCGGGGAGCAGCCAGATAGAACTGGCTGGTCAGTGGGGACCCTCCGGTCACACTCTCCACCTGAGGAGGCAAAGGGACAGGAGTTGGGACTGGTGAGATCCTCATCTCTTCTGTCTGGACAGGCTCCCTGTCCTTCCTGGGGCTCACTTGGTTCCTTGGTTCCATCCCCAGGAAAGGGCCTGTCAGCACATACTCTTAACCCCTACCTTCCCCTCCAGTTGTGGGAACAGTTTCATGACCACCGACATGCAAGCTTCAACAAAGGAATCTTTGAGTGTCTCATAGCCAGTGCCCCGCTTTCCCTTCGGCTCCTCCTGCCACTCCTCAAACCACTCGAAGGCTGCAGGCAACAGCACAATCATCGTGGACCGATCTGCGGGTGCAGAGCCAGGTTACCCTGCTGCCTGGTCCCCACCTAGGCCCTCCCAGCTCCGCTGGACCTTGAGCCCACCTGGGAAGCGCTCCTCCCAAGTCGGGTCCTTGGTTGATGGGGAGGCAATGAAGAAAAGGGGAATGTGTCCCACAGCCTTCTCCCTGGGCATGGAGGTGTAGCGCTCCACCCTGCAGATGAGAGGGGAGCTGCCCATCCCTGGCCTTTCTCAAGGCCACCAGCACCAACCCCAAGGACAGTCCCATCCCCTGTGATTCCACACAGGGACGAGGCTGAGGCATAGCCTTGTTGTGAAAGCCCTTTCAGGAGTACACTGGAAAATCCCCTCTTCCTTCCGTGCTATCACCACCCTGCCCAACACACACACATGTGCACACGCCTTACGCTTTCTCCATGTCTGTGTCGAAATAAACATAGTAGTTGGTGGACTGCAGACCCAAGTCCTCCTTGGTGCCACGCAGGCAGATGAAAACTGAGACCATCCCCAGACTGGGCCGCACCATGCGCAGCTGCTCCTTCACCCCTGCCAAGTAGAGTGGTCAGGACTGTGAGGGCTGTGCCAGAGAGGCTCCAACAGCCTTGGATATGCACTCTCCATCTTTGGCTAAGAGAGGGTCCAGGCCTTTACCCCTCCTTTAGTGCTGGAGATTGAACCTAGGGAGCACTGAGCTACACCTCTAGATCTTTATGTCTTGGACAGGGTCCCACTAAGTTGCCCAGGTGAGCCTTGAACTTGCCATTCTCCTGCCTCAGCCTTCTGAGTAGCTTGGATACAGGCGTGGATCAGTTTTCCTAGCCATTTTTACAGCTTTTTCTTTCCTTTTTTTGGTACTGGGGATCGAACTCGGGACCTTGGGCTTTCAAGACAGGCAGTGGAACCACTCAGCTAAATCCCCAGCAACAGCCATCTCTTTGTGAGCTTGGCAGATGCCCGCTTTTTTGCCTCCTCCTGTCAGACATAGCCTTAGATGCCTCTCCTAACTCCACCATCTCCATACTGAGCTTCTCTATTCACAGATGACACACAGCCCCTGGCCCCCCACTGGCTCACAGTGGCTATAAAAACAAAAAGCTTTTGCAAATAGGGAGGAAGGGAATGAAAAAAGAAAGAAGGGGTGGGATACATCATATACAGGTGCAAATTCCCTATAATGAGTGTTATCATTATGTATATCTAAAATGTATCAATAAATGTTTTTTCTTTAAAAAAAAAAAATCTTTTAAAAAAATAATAAGGTCTTTGCTAGGTCCAGTTGGTACAGGCCTGTAGTCCCAGAACTCTAAGAAGCTGAGGCAGGAGGATAGCAAGTTTGAGCCCAGCCTGGGTAACTCAGAGACTTTGCAGGACCCCATCTCAAAATACTTTAAAGGGAAGTGGGGCCTGCAAAGGCCGTGAGTTCAATCCCTGGTGCTGCCAAACAAATAAATAATAGAAGTCTGAGTTAGAAGCAGCCGGGTGTGGCAGCGCATGGCTGTAATCCCAGTACTCAGGAGGGTGAGGCAGGAGGATCACTGTGAGTTTGAGACCAGCCTAGGCTATATAGTGAGTTCAAGGCCAGTTCACACATAGTGAGATCCCATCTCAAAGAAAAAAAGCAGATGACACCTCCTACTTACAAAGGCCACACACAAACAGAAGTTTCTTACAAGCCTCGATTTCAGTACTAACATTTTTTGTTTTTGAGACAGGGTCTCACTATGTAGCCCAGGCTGGTCTCAAACTCACAGTGATCTTCCTGTCTGATCCTCCCAAGGGCTGGGATTACAGGTATGCACCACAGCACCTGGCTTTCAGTTTTAACTTTTTTTTTTTTGGTACGGGATCGAACTCAGGACCTCACACTTGCCAGGCAGGCACTGTGCCGCTGGGCCAAATCCTTGGCCTATCTCAATGTTAACTTTAAGAGAAGCCATCTAGTAAGTAAATATTACTAAGTAAGGAAGGGGTAGAAGGACAAAGGCAGCACACCAGGCTGTGCTGCCCTGCCATACCCCACTGGGATCCCCCCACCTGAAAGAAGAGCCTCACTGGTGTCAGTTGCTGGCTAAGGCCCACAGAATGAGGCACACAAGTCAAAGGCTGGCTTTCGGTGGCACCCGTCTGCTATGGTTTGGGTAAGTGTCCCGCACAGGCCATGTACTAAAGGCCTTTGGGAAGCGATGGAACTTGACAGAGTGGGGCCTCATGGGAGGAAGTTAGGTCACTGGTGTGGGAGTCATGCCCTTGAAGGGGACATTAGGACCCTGGCCCCTTCTCCGTCTCTCTTTGCCTCCCACCTCCATGAGGTGACCAGGCCCCCTTTGACAGGCACTCTCACCGTGATACACTGTGCCACTCCCGGCTTAAAGCACTGGGCCGGGTGACCATGAACTGCAACCTCTAGAACTCAGAGCTAAAATAAACCCTTTCCTCTTTTGAAGTTGTCTCAAGAGATTCTGTCACAGTAACAGGAAGCTAACACACTGTCCTCTACCTTAGAGACAATTAGAATTGCCACCCCCTGCTTCCCCATGAGGAAACCCAGCACCTCACTGCCCCACACAGCCACGCTGCTTCTCACCCTCCCTGACTCCTCAGGGATCCACCTCAGAGGGTGGGCAGCTCCTTCCCCCTGCTCCCTGGACTCCACTAATCCAACCCATCCCAGCACATCCTGAGCTGCTCTGTCCCCTCTGTCATCCATCCTGTGTCACTGGTCCCTTCCTGGCCAGGAGCCTCTTTTCTTCTGATCACACCAACAGCTTCAAGTCACCTAACATCCTGAAGCAACTTCCTGCCTAATGGCTTGGCAACATTCCTCTGGGTTGACCTGCCTGCCTGCCCCTATAGTAAGGCCTTTTCTCTGGAAGCCCTGTGCCTCTTGAACCAGGAAGTAGAGAGAGCTGGGATTTTGACAGCCTAGGGTTTTGACAGCTCTGCCTTCCAGCTGGGTCTCCGTGGGAAGTCAGTTTGCCTATGTGGGCCTCTGTTTCCTCAATCATAAATGCTGGGATGGTGA